CGCCGCCGGCAGCGCCCGTGGACGTGCCCGCTTCCTCGTCGTGCCGTCGGGACGTGGTCGGCGCGGAGCTGGCAATGTCATCTGTGCCCTAGTCAAATTACGTCGCCGCTTCGTTGATCTTCGCCAAGACAGCTTCTTTTTTCGCCCGCGGGATGCGCTAGCATCAAAGCTCGCGACGGATGTCGTGGGCGGCATGTAGTATAGGAGAAGTGTGTCCTGCTCGTCCACGTCCGCCACGATGCCCATGCTAGTAGTGAGTTTCTCATCCGCGCGTCGATGCTTGTCGAAGAGGTGGAGGTTTGTACGCCTGGTCGACATGCGATGCCGAATGCGACCTGCCACCCTTCTAGCACCATGTCGGTGTAGTGAGTCGCGCCTCCCCCTTGGTGATGTCGGCATGGGCCGGCTCGTCGTCGACCGCCTCCTCCATTGGCTCCTCCATAGCAATGGCGGCGATCTCCTTCTTCTGTTCGGACGATCCCACAGAGCTTTGGAGCTCGAGGAAGCCATGGCGGGTGTGGTGCTGAGAGGAGATAGGGAGCGAAAAAGGTTGGATGCAGCTATTGCTAGGCCTGGTGTTTAAATTGCAGATGGATGGCAAGCGAGGCGGCAAGGTGGTTAATGGTGCGCGGTAGACGAACAAACAGGTGGCACCGAAGTTGGTTCCTCGGCAACCGCTCATGTTTATTGGAGCGAGGTGGACAAAACGAATTGTCGTTTGAACGCGGAGGCGTGCATGGGGAGACGGCGAGGGTGACATTTTCGGGCGGCACACCTCTTCAATGTCGGCTCCAGCGCAAGGTCGCGTCCGCTCTGGGCCGGCGCGCCTCTTCAATGACGGCTCCAGTGTGAGGTCGCGTTCGTTGTGGGCCGGCATGCGTGTGGCGGTGATCACTTCGGGCGAGAAAGGACGTTCGAGACCAAAACACGTCCGAACCGCACGGTCCGAACGGATGGGGCGGTTTGTGGATTCATGTTGTGTGCGCGTATGTACGAGCGCTTGCGTGTGTACTGATGTTGAAAGAAAAAATTTCTTAACAAACATTTTGGCCAAGGAAAACAAAACCACGGTTATTATACGTACAGCACACGGGTGTGCGGCAGGGACACGCTTCGGCCCGCGTCTGGAACGCTCTCCGCCTGCCCCGAGAGATCGAGCGGCCCACGCGATCGATCCCCTCTCGCTCGCATAAACGCGTCGGACCCGACCACCCCCACCCCAACCCATAGTCGCATCGCAACGAAGCCAAACCACCCGAGTCGACCGCTTCGAGAAGCCTCGCCACCAAGGCACCCAGACCACCCTCCTCCCGGGAATCGGAACCGCGTCCCAGCCAGCCTCGCCAGCCCAACCCATTCGCCGCTCCCCTGATCCATCCGGCGACGCGGCGGAGCAAGGAAGGAACCAAGGCTCGAGCAGCGGGCGGCCGGAGAGATGGCGGAGAACCCGCAGCTGTTCGGGAACGGGATGCCCGTGCCCTTCCACGGCGAGATGTTCGTCCTCGCCCGCGACGGCGTCGAGTTCCACGTCGACAAGATCCCCTCGTGCGTAATCCCCTCCCCTCCCTCTTCTCGCCCCGCTTGCTTTCGCCTCGCCTGGACAGATTGCTTTTTTTTTTCCGATCTAGCGTGGCCAGCGATCGCGCTGTCTGGATGGGGATTTTGATTGGGGTTAGGTTAGGGGTGCACGCGAAGAAACGGTGGGGGGTTTAGCATCTCTTCGGAATCGGCTCATCTGAGATTCCGGGTGGCGCGGGCGGCCCGAATTGAGCCGAGCCCTTGGTTTGAGAGGGGAATTTTGCCCTTCGGTGGCTGGCATGTCGCCTTGCAACTAATTTAGCTGTGCTCGTCTTCATCCTCGTCTTCTTCAGGGGTTGTAAACGTACAATCTCGGAAGGCTTGATGTGTTGGTGATGCGTGGTTGGCCTACATAGCTTGTATCTATTCACTACTAGATAATTTGGAACGCTTGGTTGGAGCTTCCGGGTGACAAGGAGAAAAATAATGCTGCATGCTGTATGGTTTGGGATTTAAGGAAGGCCATGAGTTAGATGAGGAACGCTTTCGTTGTTTGAGTCATTTAGAAGGCTTTCTCATTATGTTCGGCTTAGGTTTTTATCTTATATTGAATTAAACACTGCTTTGCACAATAATAACTAACTGAATACTATCATCAGTCTCATATGGTTGCTTCGCCTGTTCTCAGGGCGCCCGGCGGTCACGCAAAAACAAAGGGCACCATATACCTTTCTAACATAAGGATGGTGTTTGTCGCTGCCAAGCCTGTTGGCAACTTCTTTGCCTTTGATATGCCCCTGGTGAGCAAATGCATCCTGAAATGACCCTATTATCCCCTGTGAATCTGTGAAAGGAACAATTGATGTTGCTTCCTTAATAATAATTTCATTACATCATGAGTTTACAGCAAAATGTAAATTCTCTGACATGCCTAACTTGTTTGCAGCTGTACGTGCACGGTGAGAAGTTCAACCAACCGATATTTCACTGCAACAATATTTCTGGGTTCGTTGAGCCGGTGAGTTGTCACTGAACATTTTTTTATGTTCGTAATTGGAGAATGCTTGTACATCCTACATTCCTAAACACACATACCAAGATATTAACCTTGTGGGTTTCAATCCAGGTTGTTCCAGAGAGCCAGAACAGGGCTCTGTACTCGACCCACACCTTCAAGATCTTGTTCAAGGAAGGTGGATGCGGTACCTTTGTGCCACTCTTCCTGAACCTGATCACATCAGTGCGGCGCTACAATCAGTTTGAAGCCCAGCCCGCTACTGTGCCCCGTGTGGACCCCATGCAGGCAGCGCAGACTCCTGTCGATGACATGATGCGCCATGCGTGAGTGCACCAATCTGAAATTTCCCAATCTCCTCCTTGCAGCTATTCCCCTGTTGTGCTGTGAACTCACTTGTGGTCTGATGTTTACAGGTACGTCGATCCACATGATCCTACCAAGATCTTCCTCCAGCAGCCCGCAGCGGAATCCCAGCTGAGGAGGAGAAACTACCACGGCCCCGCTGACAACGCGTACTGATGCTTTGGCCTGATTGCAAAGTGCATGTGTTTTCGACGAGCTATGTATGTGGTGCACATGAGCAATATATCTGTTTGGTGTCATTCCAGTGACTCTCACTGAAGAAAATGTGATGGAAGTATAGTAGTATGATGATGATGTTAGACAATTGTGGGTTCAATCTAGATCTAAGTATAATAATGTACATACAAGGTGCTCTGCTGGATTATATGTTGCTGATCTCGCCGTATAAGTTTCCTTTGGAGTTATAAAACTGGTCTGAATGCTGAGTAAATTTGTGTCGACATGTTGAGATGTGTGCGTTGGTTTGGTCCGTTCTTCAGCCTCTTGAGCCTTGGATGGCAATCAGAATAATACCAAACCTAGGATGGCAACCTGTCAGTCGTAATGTGCATATAAAGTGGTCTGCTTGGCTATATGTTTGCTGATCTGCTGCAGCGCCAGTGTCCATAGTAATCATCAACACTTGGAATAAAACACACCAGAGACATAGCAATGTCTTTGGGTTTGGGGCAAGAAAGCAAGTAGAAGTAGTACAAGCAGTTGGCTGCAAACCAATCGGAAACAAATAAATGTGGATGTTGAGCATCTCTCGTTTTCATAGTACATGCCAAGGGAAACAAGGCAAGCTCAGTGTTCATTCACGGTTTCACAGCATTATTACAGGACATTGCTGCACGTTGACTCGCAAACTCAGCAAGATACGTACAGTAGACCAAGTAGTAAGTACATTATTTTGAAAACTCAGTAAGTGTATTATTGGCAGGCAGGTTCAAGGATCACACACGGCTTCCACGCTCGAGGGAGTCTTGGGCGCTGATGATGATGAAGAGCCGCCGCCATCTACACGGGCTCTCGTCTCCACTATGTCGTCCTGTGTTTGACAGTTTATCAAACGGATTAAGAAACGATCATGACAAGTCTTGACAATGCCAAGGAAGATATGGTGTTTTTTTTTTTTTTGCGGTTGGAAGATATGGTGATCTATTATTACCTCCAAGTCGCTGACACATACATAAGGAACGTGCTGAAACTTTTCCCAGTTGGGGTCTCCAGCTCTTCTGCACGCACTCATCAGCATCTCATGGCAGAAGGTGAGACTCAAGTAGTCAAGAGACCGCGGCAGCGTCGGAAGCGACCGGATGTTCGGGCACCAGTCGAGGTCCAGGCGCCTGAGCGACGTCAGGTGCTCCATGTGATCCGGCATGGTGGACGAGCTGCAACAGTACATGTAGAACGAACGGAGGTGAGGCCAGAACCCACCAAGCTCTGTGCTGCAATGGAAGAGGCTGAGTTCCTTCACATACTTTGGGCCGCCGCCGTGCTCACCCATCATCCAACTTGGGTATCTCAAGCCATGGTAAGAGTAGATGGTCAGTGATTCGAGATGCTTGGGCGGGCAGAGACCCTCCAGCACCTCTGTGTGAGCCTCCTGTTTCTTCAACTCTCCTCTCACATCATGATCATGACCCCACGACAGTTGCAATGTTGTGAGCCCTTCTTTGTCGCCCAGCTTGGCTTCAAGAGCTTCCTGCTGGGTCTCGACGTTTTCGAGGCCCGCGATACTCAGTTTGCCACGGAGCTGGTTGAGGCCGCCGAGTTGCTTCAACTCGCACCCTTGTTCCTTTCCCACTTTGATTTTTTGCAGCGTTCGAAGCAATGTCATCCTGCCAACTCTTGGTATTTTCAGAAACGGCATTCCGGCCATATGTCGCAAGTTGATGAGGCCAAACATGTCATCACGAGAGTTGAACACCAGATTTTCAACACCAGAAAAATCTAGTCTCAAAAGGAAGATGCCGTAGATACCGTAGATGCCTTAGCTGACCAATAGATTCTGGGACTGAAAATGTACCTTGATCATTATAGACAGGTATGATAAGCACCCGCAACTTCTTTAGCCTCACAAACAGACTCTTGACGGTTTTCTCCTCAACTTGTATTCTGACATCTACGCCATCAATGATGAGAGTGCGCAGGTTGTCCAATTTGCATATCTTCTCATTTATCAATTCTGAACCATAGGTCTGAACAAAAAGATGGCGGACGTCTGGGGGAACTTCCTCTTCACATCCTTCCATTATTAAGCCATCTCCTATCTGTTTCCATTGATTCTCTATTCTGAAACAATCACTTCCAGCAACCCTATCTGCTAAATCAAGCAACAGATCATGAACTATATAAGTGTCCTTCTTACTGGAGTACTTCTTTACTTCAGGTTGCAGAAATGAGGCTGACACCAGTTCATCAAAGTATCCCTGGCAAACATCTTCCAAATCCTTCCCTTCATTGCTACTTCTAGCAAACCCTTCTGCAGCCCAAAGCTTAACTAACTCATGTTGTTCCAAGAGACGTCTTCGAGGAAAAATACTGCAGTAAGCAAAGCATCGTCTGACCTGTTCATCAAGATGTTGGTAGCTCCACCACAGAGCTCCCATGGTGTCATCCAAGTGGTTCCCATCTCGGGAACTTCTCCAGTAATCGATGTTTGGCCTCATACGTAGCTGCCCTCCAACAAGTTTGGCCGCCAGAGGTGATCCCTTCAGCTTTTTTGCAATGTGAGTTGCAATGTCTTCGAGTCTTATCCGGTCATCAGCAGCAACGCACACGTTGTGAAATGCATAGTGCTTGAACAATTTCAGGAAGACATCTTCATCTAGCAGTGACATGGGAATACATCTTTGCTCTGCAGCACCCAGAGCTATCAATGCGTCTTTAGTTCGACTAGTCACCAGGATCTTGCTTCCTGCCTCTCCAGCGTTCAGCGGTGAAAGTATCTGTTGCAGCTTCTCATACTGCCTCACATCTCTATTATTGTACCAAACATCATCTAGTACCAAGAGGAACCGTTTTCCATGCAGTTTCTTCTGCAAATTAGTCTGTAAGGTGTCAAGATTATTGAACTGAGGGCACGGGGTCCTGCTAGCGGCCTCAGACATCTGCCTGAAAATGGTATCCACACTAAAATCCTGTGAAACGTGAACCCACATAACAAGGTTGAAATGGCCATCCTTTTCCTCACGAGCACAAACAAGTTGTGAAAGGGTTGATTTTCCAGAACCACCGATGCCATGAATGCCGATTACGGAATAGCATTGAGCCTTATTGGTATCTGGTTGAGCATCTTCTTCCTTATCATGAAGCATTGCAACTATGTTATCACAATCTTTATCTCTTCCGATTACCAGAGGTGGAGGCCTCGCCGTAGTGACCGCACCTCGTGAGCTGGCAGGTTTGCTCAAATTAGCATTACTTTTGTTTGGCAAGTTCATCTGTTCAAAAAATCCACATGCATCATTTATGACCTTTTCTATTTTTTCTAGGCTCTGCTTCAACTCGATTTTTGACATGCTAGAGTCCTGCAAAACAAAATACCAAGCGAGAAGTCGATGAATGAGTAAATATTTCTACGGATCCGAGAAACATACATTACAAAAACTGAAGTTAGTTTTAATTTTCAGCTTGATTAGCAAAAATAAGATTATTTTTAATATGGTTCATCGCTTTTGCTAGGAAAGGATATGGTTGCTAAGTTGTAAGGCCAGTGAGCCCCAAATAAACCAGAAAATCAAGGGTAGAGCCCCAAATATACTCTCCTTTTGCAATTCTAACATATTTTCATGCTATAATTTAAAAAAAAAACTTTTTATGCCCGAGAGAAAATACAAACACATATAGAGGCAGTAAAGCACCTGGTCTTTCAGGAAGTTGCACTTTTTCATGGCAGACGTCAAGAGCTTCTTCACATGATTCTTGCTGCGTCGAGGCGGGGCACCTGTGACCTGAGATAGTCATCTTGTATCTGTTTCTCAAGACGGTAATACTCAACATCATCCAAGATGTCCTCTGCTTGGTAGAAAGCAGACTTAAGATCGTTGAACAGCTGCTCTAGATGAGGCCTGTAAGGGCTCTCCTCAACTATTTCCATCACGCGCTGCAGCAGCAAAATCTTTGGCTCCAGTTCCTTGAGCTTCCGCGATGCATCAAAATTGAGGAGGGAAGAGGCTTTCTTGTAAAGCTCGGAGATGATGGGCGAGGCGACCCACCCAGCGGCCTTCATGGCCCATCCTACAGCGGTGAGGGTGGGGGTGGGGGTAAATTACCTTGGCAGAAAGCGGTGAGGGTCAGGTCAAATCCAGCGGCTGAAGGTCAGGAGATGGTGGAAGGTGCTCGGCTGATGGAGGTCCGGACGGCGTTCAGCGGCTGGAGGTCAGGGACGGCCGATGGTGGCTGGAGGCGGTCGGCGTGTCTTGGTTCCCGGCAGCGGAGCCGGAAATGCAAGGGCGCTGGAGGCCCGGCCGAGAGGTGTGGCGAGAGTCAAGTCTCAAGTCTCCCTCCCTCGTTTAGCTTTTCAAACTGCACCCCTCAATTATTGATCTGGTGCACTGCATTTCCTCGCTCGATTGGAAGAAAGAAAAACCTCACAGTTGTCCCCTCAAACGCGTGACAACAGTCAAACGTGGTCTACCTCATACCTTGTACTCCCTCCGTAAAGAAATGTAAGAGCGTTTAGATTACTAAAGTAGTGATCTAAACGCTCTTATATTTATTTACAGAGAGAGTATGATCTTGTATGATCAATTGCACGCATCATGTCAAGTTGTTTTGCTGTTCAACAAATTTTGCTTTTTATGGATTTTTTTAGAAAAAAGGCCGATAAATGGCCGGACGTGTCGCAACTTGCATACAGTGTCGGAAATCGCTCACACCTGACATGGTTGCCTACCATGGACATGACCACCTGCTTGCAAAACTTGTAGTCCTTTCAAGGATGTCCAAACGCGCCCTTATTTCTAGCAAGATGGGCCAGCCCAAACACAGGGAGGGCACAATCTCGTCTTTTTCATGATTCTTTTATTTTTTTATTTCTTTTTTACTTTCACTTATGCTTCCATATATGTCAAATAGATATATTATAAAAACAGTTTACATAAACATTTGACATGAAATGCTAATTAAGCATTTGAAAAATGTTAAATGTGTATAAAGAAAATGTTTCTCATGTATAAAAAAATATATAATGTGTGTTACAAAAGTCTAACATGTATTTAAAAATTTAATCCAAGCATTTGAAAAAATAAAATAAATATTTTAAAAAATGGTATTCAAGTATTTAAAAATGTTAATGTGTATATAAAAAATATTGACCATGTATTAAAAAATGTTAAAAGTTTATTTGAAAAATCCAAGCATATGAGAAAATGTTAAACAAGTATTTCAAAAATGTTAACCAAACATTTGAAAAATGTTAAATGTCAATAGAAAAAATGTTAAACTTGTACATTTGAAAAAATTTAATCAAGCATTTGAAATATGTTAAATGTGTATACAAAAAATGTTGACAATGTATTAAAAAAGTTAATCTTGTATTTGAAAATTGTTAATCAAGCATTTGAAAAACATTTCATGTGTATAGAAAAAATACTGACCATGTATTTGAAAATTATTAAATTTGCAATAGAGAAAATACGTTTACCAAATGGAGACATTTCTTTTCCACACACTGGCATCACCATGGAAGGCATGCATGCCAAGTTCCGTTGCTTTTTGACATTATATCCATTTTCTAGGGTTTTTTGAGTGAAAAAACCTAAAATACTATCTGCACGTGATGCAGCATGGATTTAGTGTCTGAATTCTTTCATATTTTGCATGGAGGCCTTCCATGGGCATGTCCGCGTGCTAGCAAATTTTGGTGTCATGTCATGCATAGCAGGACCTACACCATGTTCAACCGGGACTGTTTGGGTCTGTTCGTAGTGTAAGTCTCGAACAAGTCATTTTTCAAATTAACCAAATGGAGCCACAAAAATTCACACACTAGCATCACCATGGAAGGCATGCATGCCAAATTTCATTGCTTTCTAACACTATATGCATTTTCTAGGGTTTTTCGAGTGAAAAATCCCTAAAATATTGCCCGCACGTGACACAATGTGCGTTTGGTCCCCGAATTCTTTCAAATTTTGCATGAAGATCTTCCATGGGCATGCCCACACACTGGAAATAATTAGTGCCATTTCGTGCACGACAGGACCTATACCATGTTGAACAGGGACCGTTCGGGTCTACCGATAGTATAAGTCTTGAATCAATTTTTTTCACATTAACCAAATGGAGTCAAAAGAAATTCCACACACTGGCATCACCATGGAAGGCATGCATGCTAAGTTTCGTTGCTTTCTCACATTATATGCATTTTCTATGATTTTCCCGGTGAAACCCCATAAAATATTGCTCGCACGTGATGCAACGTGCGTTCAGTGTCTGAATTCGTTCAAATTTTGCGCGGTGACTACCTTGGGCATGTCCATGATAACCCACAAGTATAGGGGATCGCAACAGTTTTCGAGGATAGAGTATTCAACCCGAATTTATTGATTCGACACAAGGGGAGACAAAGAATATTCTCAAGTATTAGCAGCTGAGTTGTCAATTCAATCACACTTGGAAACTTAATATCTGCAGCAAGTGTTTAGTAGGTTCCCACTCATCATAATATTAGCAGCTGAATAGTAGGTTCCCACTCATCATAAAGTTTTCTAGGGATAGAAACTTCCAACTCAAGTTTTTCTTGATAAGATTGCATCAAAGCATCAACGATATGTTTAGTAAAAGCTTTATTTTGACTATAAGCATGAGGAGAATTTAGCACGGATTGCAACAAGGAAATACAATCTATCAAAGAGCAATTATCATAATTAAATTCCTTGAAATCCAAAATAGTGGGTTCATTAATATTTAAAGTTTTGACTTCTTCAATCCCACTTTTAACAATTTTAGCATCAAGATCTAAAACTCCGAATTTTTGGAACGCCTTCTAGGTAAAGGTGGATCATATTCAGTCTCATCATTATCAAGATTCATATTGCAAAACAAAGATTTAATAGGGGACACATCAATAACTTTTAGATCTTCATCTTTATTTTCATAGAACTTCTCCGGTTTAGCGGCCATCCTATTAACTAAGGTGGCCTACTTATTCGAAATTTCAGTTATCAATTTCTCGAGGTGAGCAATCTGAAATTTCAAACCATCAAATTCTTTAGACATATCATCGAGCTCTTTATTCATATAACTCATAAATACTTTTTTTGTTCCTTAAGCTCATTTCTAAAGAAATTATTATGCTCAAATTGTAAAACCATAAAACTCATGACGTTGCTTTCGATCTCTTCCAACCTTTTAAGGTGAAGATCTCCAAATCTAGGTAGAGCCATCGTGACAAGCAAGCAATCCAACACACGAGCAAACCAGAGACGGGCAAAAAGAGGCAAACGGAAAAGAGAGGGCGAATAAAACAACAAGGGTGAAGTGGGGGAGAGGAAAACGAGAGGCAAATGGCAAATAATGTAATGCGGGAGATAAGGGTTTGTGATGGGTACTTGGTGTCTTGACTTTTGCATAGACCTCCCTGGCAACGGCGCCAGAAATCCTTCTTGCTACTTCTTGAGCACTTGCGTTGGTTTTCCCTTGAAGAGGAAAGGGTGATGCAGCAAAGTAGCGTAAGTATTTCCCTCAGTTTTTGAGAACCAAGGTATCAATCCAGTTGGAGGCCACGCACGAATCCCTCGCACCTACACAAACAAATAAATCCTCGCAACCAACGCGATAAGGGGTTGTCAATCCCTACAGGCCACTTATGAGAGTGAGATCTGATAGATATGATAAGATAATATTTTTGGTATTTTCATGATAAAGATGCAAAGTAAAATAAAAGGCAAAGGAAATGAATAAGTATTGGAAGATTAATATGATGGAAGATAGACCCGGGGGCCATAGGTTTCACTAGTGGCTTCTCTCAAGAGCATAAGTATTCACGGTGGGTAACCAAATTACTGTTGAGCAATTGACAGAATGGAGCATAGTTATGAGAATATCTAGGTATGATCATGTATATAGGCAACACGTCCGAGACAAGTAGACCGACTCCTGCCTGCATCTACTACTATTACTCCACACATCGACCGCTATCCAACATGCATCTAGAGTATTAAGTTCATAAGAACAGAGTAACGCTTTAAGCAAGATGACATGATGTAGAGGGATAAACTCATGCAATATGAAATAAACCCCATCTTGTTATCCTTGATGGCAACAATACAATACGTGCCTTGCTGCCCCTATTGTCACTGGGAAAGGACACCGCAAGATTGAACCCAAAGCTAAGAACTTCTCCTATTGCAAGAAAGATCAATCTAGTAGGACAAACCAAACTGATAATTCGAAGAGACTTGCAAAGATAAACAATCATACATAAAAGAATTCAGAGAAGATTCAAATATTGTTCATGGATAAACTTGATCATAAACCCACAATTCACCGGTCTCAACAAACACACCGCAAAAGAAGATTACATCGAATAGATCTCCACAAGAGAGGGGGAGAACTTTGTATTGAGATCCAAAAAGAGAGAAGAAGCCATCTAGTTAATAACTATGGACCCGTAGGTCTGAGGTAAACTACTCACACTTCATCGGAGGGGCTATGGTGTTGATGTAGAAGCCCTCCATGATCGATGCCTCCTCCGGCGGAGCTCCAGAACAGGCCCCAAGATGGGATCTCGTGGATACAGAAAGTTACGATGGTGGAATTAGGGTTTTGGCTCCGTATCTAGTAGTTTGGGGGTACGTAGGTATATATAGGAGGAAGGAGTACATCGGTGGAGCAACAGGGGGCCCACGAGGGTGGAGGGCGCGCCTAGGGGGTGGTAGGCGTGCCC